ACATAATCATCGTTTCGGGTACTTGGTTGATTTATCCCTCGAATGTTTATTGTTAAGTTTTGTCGTCCAAATTCATTCATCACTCACGCTTTCGGTGCTAATTCCATCACGTTTATGATTGATTTGTGCAAAGATCAGTACCTCAATCTTTTTGATTACACACTTTCGTGTGATGAACAGTAGACGAGGTGAACCCCATAGTTACGAGGACCTGCTGTTCGGTGGTGAAAACCGGCAACCAAAGCCTCGGGACTTGGAGTGGCGAACCACATAAAGCCCCGATAAGTTAGGCGTGGTACTGAACCGGGCGATAGCAAAGCTGTCTACCACAAAAGTCGGGTGGGGGGGGCTCGAACCTCGGACAACAGGGTCCAAAGCATGCCTGTGACAGCGACTAAACCACTGCGCCACCACCACCCACTAATGCGAGTTGAAGACACAAACGCCAATTACGCCTTAATACGTGCACCATAGTAGATGAACTACGAGGCCATATCGACAGTTCTGATCTTTTTTAGATTTTCTGATGCTCCCATCTTGTAGAAGCAATCAAAATCGAAATTTCCAGCAGGCTGCCCCCAGCACCAACCGGGTGACGTTTATGACTGAGCTCATTGTTCAACTACGTTGTTTTGGCAGATACTCGGAATACTCTTTATTGTTTGAGTGATTACTGATGGTAGTTCCCGAGCTATTTCTGCCACGATTGGTTCCTTGTTCGGTGCTCATCTTTGTCACCCTTCACTATAATGTCCAAATCCACCCTGCTGGTTACAACAGTGGACTCAACTCGGCCACATCAGAATCAGCTACCGCTGGTGAGGATTCATTGAAGACTGCCGCTCTTATTGATCGACACCAGTGGACACGGACTATGCTCTGCTACGAGCCAGATTCTGCCTACGTCTGGTAAACAACTAGAGAGAAGTCACCGGAAACGAATGCCCACGATACTAGATAATTGCAAATCGACCTTCGAAGCGAAACTCCCTAATCACCTTTAGTTCAACCATCAGCCGAAGGATTTAGTGAACAAGGGACGGTAATCAAGGAAGCGATCATGTCAATCAGAATACCGGAGGTTTCTGATGCACGATCAAAACAAAAACGATGGATTTCCTCGACTACGGCTACTAGCAAAGCCATTCCTTCAGGTGCCAAATACGACGAATGGCGCAAATCCCTTTAACGTCAACTCATCGGGAGTGCGAGCAATGACCGCGAGAAAGGTAGGGAGATGGAGAAGGCTGCAACTATCAGTAATAGTCGCAACCTCTTTCGTTTGATTAGGAGTAAGGGTCCAATGAAAGTAGGAGTAAGGCACTTAAGGAATCTGACGGTATACTGATTCACCATCAGCAACGCCTTCTTGAACGATGGGCAGAACAGACACTTCAACTGGCCCCCGTCAACACAAAACCTCCTTATGCCTGTTTCAACGAGGCAAATACCGCCAGTTGATTTCAGTCCTCCATCTGAAATGGAGGTTACCCGTGAAATCAGCTACTTCATAAGCGCTGCCCACATTGTATTTCAGGATAGAGGTTCAGCGTTGGTCTTGGAGTTAACAACACTCCAACTGGACGGTGTGAATCTTTCATCATACCGATTTACAAGGGTAACAGTTTCTCTTGCAAAAAACAGGAATTAGTTTAATCAACCTAGCATGAGGGTATGAAAATCCTAACCAGGACACTGGGTCACGTAAGTCCCGTTGCTTCTTGGATGGTTCGCCACTCCAAGTCCCGGAGCTTGGATTACCGGTTTCCTTCACTCGACAGCAAGTCCTCATGACTGTGGGGATTTACCGGTCTTCTGTTCATCACACTAAGGTGCGTAATAAAAATTTAAAAAAATCTACTCATTATTCCTGCAACTCGTCAATATGATTCCTCTATCTTGTCTTTGGCTGCTTTAAACATATCAATCTTCATCGTACTCTTTTATCCAAATAGCCAGCCAAAAGACAGTAACTATAACTGACGAATGGTTAATGGCTGTAAAACCTGAAACTGATATCCTGCCACTGAATTTTTTATAGAACACCTAGGTGTGATGAACAGCAGACGGGGCGAACCCCATAGTCATGAGGACCTGCTGTTCAGTGGTAGAAACCGGCAACCGAAGCCCCGGAACTTGGAGTGGCGAACCGTATAAGGCCCCGATAGGTTAGGCGTGCTATTGAACTGGACGACAACAGCACTGCCTACCACCACCAATAAGAATAACGCAAGTGGCTCCTTTTCTGGTCTACCGAAGGAAGACAAGGACCATCTCTTCTGAAAGAACACAAGCAAGGAATGTTGGATTTCCTGTGTTGGCGCGATACAATCCAAAGCATAAAACACTCCAACAGACACCGGCTGCTGGCACTATCGTCCTCTTTACCGACAGGTCACATTTGGCCGTACGCGGACGAGATGTCACGTCGAACAAAGCCGAATGGTGTTGTGGACAGCATTCCCTGCCGAATTCCCATCTCTTGATTTCGTCTCGGTCTGGTGCTATTCGTATGTTACTGTGTCCATGGGAGGAGACGCACCTCATATTCCCAACCAGCGGACTGGGAACCTTCGAACGAGAGACAGTACATAAATAGCATGCTGAAACAGCAGAACTGTGCTCGGTTCTGGCAGTCGGTATATCAACATGTGCTCGATTCACTACTAAAAAGTAGATAGTCTGTTTATTGGAAGTGTGTACCCAACTGAGGAGTTAAAAGAGTGAGGTATCTTAAGCAGACGCAACCTGATGAGTAAACCACAGCGGTTCAATGGCCAGTTTTGATTGTAGAGAAGTGATTGTTTTGAATAATCAGGCCAAAGCTACAATACCGTGAAAAACGACCTCTTCCTGGATTGCTGTACGCTCGAGGTGGCGCTTTGTAAGTGACTTCATATGAACGCACAATCTGTTGGTTGATAACGTTAAGACAACTTCTAGTCAGCTACAAATTGCATTCGTGTGTACCCCCATACGGGGAATACTCCTGATTGCAGACCAATGGAATGCACGCAATGGGTTGTCAGATTTCGTTCTACGAAGGTTTGGATTTGGTAGGCGGTGAAAATGTTGGAAGTCCAGTCTCTCAAACGAATATTGGCTACCAACACCTGATTTCAGCACTTCAAGAGATACCAAATAACGTGATAATCCAATAGCGGTCACACAATGCACTACATTGAGCTCGCTCGCTGGGTTTCATTCATTGGCCGGCTCTGATCACACCTTGGTGTGTACAATTTGAAACTAACCTAAGGAACATTAAAAGACGTGATCCCCAAACAAGAACAGGGGTATACCTTTGGACGAACCAGAAACCAGGACCTTGTCAGAGGCTGTTCTCATCATCTGGGGATCAACCACAGAAGTTGTAGCAAAGAACGGATGAAAAAACATAAGAAACTGAAGGACAGAAAAGATTGGATGGCCATTGGATATCCATCCTCCACTGCAAGAGGACCGCTTAGCGAATTCTCTTCGGCTTTGCTGCACTTGAAGCCAACGTCCATCGCATAGAGAACTTAAGTGATAGCATGCAAGCATTGGCTGCACGTCTAACTTAGATAGACTATCATCTAATCCACACCTCCACTGAGCAACAACCATCCGAATGCGAGCTACCATTATCTCGCAACGCTTTGTTTCAATTCGGTGGCAGATTAAGGCCGATAGAAAACGGCATCCTAGCCACCGCAGGGGCGGTTGGAATTCGTCTACATCATCTGTGTGCGCCCGAAAACAATTTGTGAAGTCCTTCAACTTATCATGGCCCTCCACCTCATCTTCCTCCCCCTCTCAATTCCATCCCAAATCACAACATGGACCAAGCGTTTCAATGGTAGGATCAGTCATGCCCGGTTTTGTGAAAATGAGACAGAAAAAACAAAAATCCCCAGTTGAATAGCCATCAATGTTGTTCCCACTTTTCTATACAAGATGTGACGTATCAGCCAGTTGATGAGTAACCGAAAACAAGCTTGTTCGCTAAACTGCGTTTTTATTCAGTATGTGCCGCTGGTACATTCCGGAAATAATACATTACTCTGGCACTCGAGCGCAGACATCAACCGACGTAGCTGGTTTTGGCAACTGCCTTACACTACGAAACCGGCAGCGAAATGAGCCAGCGCACTAAGATGCAAGCCCTTCGAAAAAACGTTCCTAGCGGTTTTTGATGAACTGCAGTTTTCACACACCACTTCACCTCTTTTTAGTATAGATTGTTCAGTGGCGGTCATTCCCAAGCTGAAGAAACAATCACTGGATTCAGTTCCAACGATAATCGGGATTGGCTTAGTTAGGAACCTAAAACTTTCATTGCACCAACCACAAGCTTTTCAGTATTGAGCTAACAAAACTGAAGCAATTCAGATATTCAAGCATAAATTTCTTCAGGCAAGCGACTATGTACTTGCCACGAAATTGAATGTTGCGAATACAAACGGTAACATAACTAGAAAAATCGGTCGTATTTCTGATGATTTTACTGAATGCAACAAATCAAACAATTCACACCCAATTCATACGACCGTATTCATTATTGCCGCCGAAAACACTACTTCGGACTGCAGGACGCCTAATATGCAAAAATTAAGAAGTGACAAGTTGCTTGATGAATCCATGATGAAAGATATTTCCACACGTAGCATGACTATGAACAAATTCAAACCAAAGGCGATCGTCCGTTTTGAAATAAAGATGTACATGTACGTGATGACTACACGCTTCTCACTGCCGGAAAACAGGTAGNGCCTTGAGGTAACAATTAACGAATGGAAACGATTGGGACGTTATCATAGAACGGGACGAATCGAGCAGACAATAAACCAGATAGTTCGGAGCAGCAGGGATTTTTGAAGTGAAAAATCATCTTTACATACAAATAAGGGAAACGAAAACAGACCAAGGTGAGCACACCCGCTTGGGGTTTGTGGACTGAGGAGTGAAGGGCTATAATTACATGGTTCCATTGGAAGGTGTCATTTTGACTCCGGAGCTCAAAGCCATAAGGAACTCATCGATCCTCCCATTTCACTTTGCTCGCGCACGAACACCTCGTAGTATTGGTAGATAGTGGTCACCGCCATTAGAATGCCAGTGCCGCTTCCGATAGCACCTGTAAAAAGGGCATGAGATTCACATTTATCGTTGATGTTTCTAAAACCAATGAATTAGTTTTACTGTTTGTGTTCTAAATAAAATCACGGAAAATCGATAGCGATTTGGGAAAAGCCGACAGTTAGTTTGTTATTTGACCCGAAAACGGACGCCACACGATCGATATTCGACGTTTCTAACCGTGCAAGCTCATCTCGAAATCTTTATATCAGTAAAATCCCATGAGATATTGCACGGGTTCAGGATTTGACATGAGATGCGGATTCCACGGGGGAAAATTAGTTCGTATGACAAACCCGCTACCGACAGGTGCCCGTCATAAACGATGTTAGCGAAACAGGCGATGGATAAACTGCACCGCGCTAATAGCTTAGTGTAAAGCAGGTTAGTTCGGATTGTAATCGGTTCAACGCTGAGTTAATGAGACGTATATCACCGCTGACTGTAGCTTGTGGTTTGAGTTTCAAGGTTTACAGATACACGAACCGAGCCGAAACTGAATGACTGCCATTCAAATGGACTGTCCATTTCCATACAAGTTAGAACATTAAAAAGTTAACATTTGATGTACAGACCGTATTAG